TGCCAGCGTCAAGAGATCAACAATCGAACCCCCCAAAATCATGTGATTGGCCCTGAAAATCACAACATGTACAAAGTTCGGTCACTCGCTTGATGTTTGGATTCCCCCTGCCCATCTCAGGGAATGGGCATGTGACAATCGGTGCTCCTCACTCTCCCACATAATAGTATATGGAGATATACCTATCTCATAGAGCTAGAAAGGACCTTGAAAGATCATTGAGTCCAGCCCTCTGCCTTCACTAGCAAGACCAGGTTCTGATTTTTGCCCCAGATCCTTAAGCAGCCCCCTCAAGGACTGAGCTCACAACCCTGGGTTTAGCAGACCAATGCTCAAACCACTGAGCTATCCCTCCCCCCACATGTACTGGGTATGGTGATTTTGGGCCTTGCTGCAGGGGCTCTCACCCCCACATCTGCCCCTCTTCTGCCCAGCAATTAACCTTGTCCCCCAGGTTCCCATCAGTTCTCTCCCCACCCAACCCCCCTCAGTTCAGTCCCCCAACCCCCATCATCACCACCCCATCAACCCCCAGTTCACCCTCTCAGCAAAGCCCCATCTGCCCACAACCCACCATCAATACAGCCCCCAACCCCATCAGCCTTCACCCTCCTCACTTTAGCCCCACTGCAGCCTGCAGCTTCACCTTCTTCACCCTCCCCAGGCCTGGGGGGCTGTGGGGGGGTCCCCTCTCTCCCACTTCCCAGACTGGCAGGGGAGCAGCTGCCCAGGGTTGATAGCTTGCTGTGCCTTCCTTGGTTTGGCCACACACTTTAAAACATAATATCAATGAGTATTCATAATTCCTCCTATCATGTTTCATACAGACATTTCACCATGATATTAATCACCAAAGACCTTACATGGTACAGTATTACTGTATGCAATCAGTTGATTTCATTGCTTATTTGAGGTCTGGCCTTCCCCCACCTCTTTACCTCCCTGCTGGGGTGTAGCTAGCGCTGTCTCTCCCCCTCACTTGTTAGCCTGATAGCTTTGTTTATCTGACATGTAGATGAATTCTCATTGTCTCTGGAAGTCACTGCTGGGTGGAGAACCACATTCCTTTGTTTAGGGTGGGGTAACCCCTGTTTGACGGGAAACACATTTTAAGAATGTGCCATGGCTGGAAAAAAAAATCCTGACATTATGAGAGTTCTATCACGAGATCATGAGTCAAGGCCTAATTTTACCTAGAAATCGCGACTCCCGCAAGCAATTCATGAGACTTGGCAATGTCTGCAGTCATACGAGCCTGTAGATAGTGCTCGTTATTCAAACTGTCGCCATATACACGGATCTAGCTATCTTTTATATACAGCGTTCATAACATAGATCTAGCTGGCCATCTATCTGTCCTCTTCAGAGTATCAGAGAGGGTAATTAACCGTTGGCCCTCTGCTGTGTAGGCAGTTCCCAATAAACCCTCACATGCACCCCTCGATGAAGTAAGGAGTGTTGTTTACTGGGGCTGGCATTAAAGAGGGAGCAAGTACCTCAGTCTCCACTGCAGAGGATGTGGGGGACACACCCACACCAGATCTATTGTTTCTGAGCAATACATCGGAAGCTCTGGCCCAGACTGAGGTGTCAGTAGACGAGGGTTTGGAACAAACTGATAAATGAAGCAGTAATGGCACCAGGACAAGATAGGGTGCTGCTGACTACAGTGTGTGCCCAGCGCTGAAACAGGCCTCTGAGCTGAAGCTTAGTAAGTACTTGGCCTCCAGGAGCCCTTGTGGCCATGAGTTCCCCAGGCTAATTGTCCATTGTGTGGATGAGGATTTCCTGCCATCCTCCTTTCCAGTTCCTTGCATGGCCCCTGGTCCTGCCCAGCCACCGTCTCTATCCCAGTCATTGTTCCGTGTCGCTGAATCATGGCTCGCTGGGAGCAGAGGGGGGCACAGTCCGCCAGCAGGCACCGGCTATGGTGCAGGTGGGGAGCACAGCCTCTGGGACTCAGATCCACCCATTTTTGGGGGGACGGGTCCTTTGGGTGTCACACCCCCTCTGTGCAGGGTCAGAGGGGTGATGCCTGTGCCTCCCGGCAATTCAGCCCTCACTGTTGGTGGGTGGAGCCCTGGGGGCTGCCGTGGCCCCGTGGGCCTGGAGGCAGCTGGGAATAGCCAGGACACAGGCTGACCCTGACCACCTCCCCTCCTGCCCCACCTCGGAACACCCTGGTCCTGCTCCCTTGTCTCTGGGCTCCGGTAAGGGAAGCACAGAGCTGCTATAACTGGCTCTGTACCTGACACAGAGGCCCCTGTGCTGGGGGTATTTTGGAGGGATGGGGCTTTATGGCCCCTCTTGCAGCCACTTGGCAGTGGTGGATGCAGTGCCAAGGTGAATTCCTCCCTGCCCCTGGCCGTGCTCCTGCCTTCCACCTTGCATAGTCTCTTACTTCGCTGCTGCAGCTAACTGGGGTGTCGTCTTGCTTGGCCCTGCACCAGGTGATCCTGTGTGGGAAGGGTGGCTCAGAGACCCCTCCATGGGGATATTCCCTGGGCAGGGGGCCGGACAGCTGCTTTCTAGGCGGGTAATTGACTGTTCTGCCCTGGGGCCCGGAATGGCTATCGGTGGGCCTGTCCTCAAGGATCTACACTGGGACCTGTGCAGTCCAATATGTTCATAAACTATCTGGAAAAGGGAGTGAACAGTGAAGTGGCAAAGTTGGCAGATGATACAAAATTATTCAAGATAGTTAAATCCAAAGCTGACTGTGCAGAGTTACAGGAAAATCTCACCAAACTGGGTGACTGGGCAACAAAATGGCAGATGAAATTCAATGTTGATAAATGCAAAATAACGCACACTGGAAAAAGCAACAGAGGGTCCTGTGGCACCTTTAAGATTAACAGAAGTCTGTTAGTCTTAAAGGTGCCACAGGACCTTCTGTTGCTTTTTACAGATTCAGACTAACACGACTACCCCTCTGTTACTTGACACTGGAAAACCTAATCCCAACTACTGTATATATAGAAAATGATGGGGTCTAACTTAGCTGTTATTACTCAAGAAAGAGATCTTGGAGTCATTGTGGATAGTTCTCTGAAAATATCCACTCAATGTGCAGCGGCAGTTAAAAAAGCGAACAGAATTTTGGGAACCATTAGGAAAGGGATAGATAATAAGACAGAAATATCATAATGCCATTATGTAAATCCATGGTGTGCTCACACCTTGAATACTGTGTGCAGTTCTGGTCACCCTATCTCTAAAAAGATATATTAGAATTGGAAGAAGATGCAGAAAAGGACAAAAAAAAAATGATGAGGGTATTGAACAGCTTCCATACGAGAAGAGAATTAAAAAGACTGGGACTGTTCAACGTAGAAAAGAGACAACTAAGGGGGGATATGATAGAGGTCTATAAAATCATGAATCGTGCGGAGAAAGCGAATAGGGAAAGGTGATTTACCCCTTCACATAACATAAGAACCAGGTCTCACCCAATGAAATTAATAGGCAGCAGTAAGGAAGTATTACTTCACACAACACATGGTCAACCTGTGGAACTCATTGCCAGGGGATGTTATGATGCCCAAAAGTATAACTGGGTTCAAAAAAGAACTGGATAACTTAATTGAGGATAGGTCCATCAATGGCTAATAGCCAAGATGGTCAGTGATGTAGCCCCATGTTCTTATATCTTTGATTGCCAGAAGCTGGGAGGGGAACAAAGGGGTGGATCTCTTCTAAATTTCCCTGTTCAGTACATCTCCCTGAAGCTCTAGCACTGGCCACTGCTGGAGACAGGATACTGGGCAAGATGGACCATTGGTCTGACCCAGTGTGGTCGTTCTTATATTCTTATGTTCATGTCTTAAATACCAAAAAAAGTAGAGTAATTCCTAACTAGGCCCCTACGGGCAGCCTTCTAGGACAATGCAAAGTCCTTCAAGCTTGTTCAAGTCTACCAGTCCCTTGGAAGAAGATGGTTATTTAGGCCCTTGGTCTCCCAGGCCTAGGTTTGACCCCATCTCTGGTCACATTAGTGTTGCCTCCCTACTTGTTGGCCACATCAAGGACCCATAATTCCCCTTGGTAGCGTCTTTCCTATAGATGGCAGTGAGACTGTGCCCCCAGCTTACCTGCCAGGTCACTCAGCACCTGTGGTTCCCACGTGAAACTCCTTTGACAGCCTCTTGCCCTTTGGCCTCTGCTCTGGGCCTGGGTTTCAGCCCTTTGTCCTGTGTGCATGGGGAACCTGACCCAGCTGACTCGCACCTTGTATCAGATCCCTGTCTTCTCAATAACTGATCTGCCTTTCCCATGGCTCTGCCAGCAATGTGGAGGCATGTGCTTGGAGCCCTTTGGGGACCCTGGAGGAGGGTGCCTGTCCCAGGACACTGGCTGCTTCTCATGTCTGCAGGGCTGGCTGGCCTTCCTTTGGGGTGACCGAGATGCTTCCCGGTGGTGTCTAATCAGATCATTCTAGGTCCTCCTCAGGAACTCCCAGAGCTCATATGGCTTTTTAGGTGACTGCCCCTCTGGACTCCCCCTCCCAGCACTGCTGTAAGGTTGTGTCGGACGTGTGACTGTAGCACGTGTAGATACCCCTGAATTAGCTTTAGTCCAGCTAGCGCAAGTACCAGTAGCAGGGAAGTTGCAGCAGCACGGGCTGCCTAAGCTGGTGTAAAACCCGGGTAATTACTCAGGCAGCTAGCCTGGGCTGCCGTGGCCTCACTGCTATTGGTACTCGCTCTAGCTGGATCAAAGCTAGCTCTGGGCTGGTATGTCGACACATGCTTCACGCACACCTCTGATTGCAGCCACCACGGCACTTCCCCAGACATATAGGGCCTGCTCCTCTAGGCTCCAGATATTCCAGCCTCTACTTCTGCCATCAATCAGGCTCTGCTGCCTGGCCTGCCATCTGCCGCCTCTCACCTGCTGTTCATGCTCACTGCCCTATACTTAACGTTTGCTTTCTCTGATCTGCCTTACCCTGTTGGATGGGGCTCATCTGGGATGACCTTGGTCCAAACGTTGTCTTTCAGGTCAGCCTGGGAGCTGGGACATCCAGAAATAGATCATGATGCTCATTAGCAACAGGTTATGGTAAATACACGCTTCCTTGTGTACCACTCCAACCGCCACTGGGCTCGGCGTTACCTTGTGTAATTGATGCACTCCCAAGTCTCTACAGTGTGCCCTTTCCAGGAGAGGTTGGGGCATGGAAGTGAATGGACTGGCTGAGACTCAGTTCAGAGAAGACAAAGGTTATGTGGTTGGGTTGAGGGAAGCAACCAAAAGTTATGACAAAAATTGTATCTGTTCCACCCCCTGGAGGTGTCTCCAAGGAGCGGAATCTGGGTAGAGCCCCAGTTATTGTGAGATGGTTATTGCTCAGCAAAGCCAAGATGTCTTTCTATCATTCTCGCTGACTAGGAAGTTGTAACCATGCTCTGTGTTCATCCTTGGCTGCCTGTTGGTTTACAGGCGGAGTTCAAGGTGTGGTAATGACATAGAAAGCCCTAAATAGCCTGGGCCCTTCCTACCTGTGAGACACCTCTCTTCCCATTTGCTACTGCTGCAGCCGAGCTCCACAGAGGTGTTCCAGCCAACCCCACCAGTGCACAGGACAGGGAGCTGCTGGCTGTTCTGCATGAGGGCATCTTTCCTTCGGGGGGCACTCTCCTTGGTCCAAAATAGCCCAGAACTGTTAACTCTGAAGACGTCCTGCAAGGCTTCTGAGAGCATGAGTGTTGCCTGAGGGACAATGTGCCAGCCAGGGAAATGGGGAACTTCTTCCTTTGGGGCCCACGGCAGTTGGGTTTTTTTGGGGGGGGCTGCTGTCTACTTCCTTTTCCATTGACCACATCAGTCTCTTGTGTCTGAATGAATTGTCAGAGGCAGGTAGAGTGCTAGAGCAGAGCCTCCTGGCCTTTTAGGAATCCCCTTCACAATGGGTCGCTAAAAGCCCCCTCCAGGATCTGTAGGTTTCTTTACTTGCACTGACCTCACTGCAAGATTTCATTGTCCGGAGAACAGTGTTATACCAGGTATTACGGGCCTGGGGATTTAAACCCCTCAGCCCATTATGGCCCTGGGAAAATATGCCTCTGTCCCTACACAGCCACAACAAATATGACCGAGCCAATCTTCCCGTTTGTAAGGCCCGAGTGGTGAGCACATTGGTCTGGGCCCATTTGAATCCCTGCCCCAAAAGTTTGAAGCTAGTTTGCACAGCGGTCAGGGTGCATCCCAGTGCGGGCAGACAGACGCCGTGGCTCCTCTCGAGCTAGTGGGTAGAAAGAGCAGCGTGACCACAGCAGCATAGGCAGCGGCTCGACCGAGGTGCCCAAGTACAAACCTACCCGGCCCCCGGAGCACACCCTAAGGTGACTGCCGAAGCCACCGCCCAGACCACCATGACCACGCTGCTATTCTTAGCACGCTACCTCCAGCACATCCGGTACTGCGTGTCTATCTGCGCAAGGATGCCCCCTCCCAGCTGTGATTCTCTGCAGCCACCGGCAGTGAGGTGTGGTTTGCAGCAGGTCCCAGTGTTAAGGTGTGGTGCCATCAGGCCCCGGGTTAGGAGAGTGCGGGGCAGGGCCTGTAGGACACAGCAGGACTCTGGCCAAGCCCCTTTGGAGAGAGCAGGGCTGTGGGTAACTGCCCTGGGGCCCAGCAGGGCTCTGGGTGGGCGCCTTGGGGCAGGGCAGGGCTGTGGTTTCCCTGGGTGTTACTGGTTTAACGAGGTGAGGGGAGAGGGAGTTTGTTGTTACAGAGGACCGGAGAGGGAATTTGGGACCCCAGCCAATGGTCTGGAGGATGGATACCCCAGCGACCGGTGACCTGAGACCCCGACCCGGAGACACAGCGCAGGAGTCGCAGCCGGTTCTGGCCGGTGGGAGAACAATGGGCTGCAGAGTGAGGACCCAGTGACCTACCCAGCCGGTTCCAGCCAGAGGACAGAAGCGAGGAGAGGAGGCCCCAGTTTACGACCCTGTTTACCTGGAGAGAAGACAATGGACAGAGGCGGGGCCTGGGGCCGGGGATCTCGGATGCCCAGCTGGGAGCAGGGGGGCTCTGGGCTGGAGAGGGGGCGCAGGCAGAGCCCACCTGGATGCAGAGAGACTGGGCTGGGCTGGGCTGAGGGAGGCCAGGCCTGAGGCCCTGAGAGTTTCCTGTGCTGTGTTCAACTCTCAATAAACCCTCCTGTTTTACGCCGGCTGAGTGTCACTCCGGTCTAGAGAACAGGGTTGCATCAACCCCTTCGGGGGTGGAGGCCCGGGGGTCCAGAGCGAGGGGACTCCCTGAGGGGGCCCACAGCAGAGACAGACATGCTAAGCCTCAGAGAGGTGCGGCTCCAGGAGGTGGAGGGGCCTGACCCCGAGAAAGAGTGAACCCCCGAGAAGGGCTGTCGCACTGAAAGGGACACCCCCCACGGACCGCACAGGGCCAAGAGTGGGCACGATCGGTGAGTCCGTGACAGGAGGGCACATTGTCTGCCCCTCGGCAGCGTCTGTGGCTCTGGCCAGGGCCCGGCGAGCGTGCAGAGCAGCTGCATTTTTGTGGGGTCTGGTGAACATTTTGTAACAAAAACTGCACACTAAACCGTGAGCGAGCCGGCGCCAGGGCGGGCGCGGGGAGCTAATGAGAACAATGTTTCCAGAGAGCCTCGCCGCCTAATTCAAACCAGCTAGATAAGAGTCAGCACCATCTCCCCTCCCAGAGCGCAATGTGTTTGCTATCAGCCGGGGAGCGCTTGGCAGGGAAATCCCAGCTCCAAGGGCAGCCACAGGCGCTTGGGCGGTCTCTGCTGTAGGGCTGACGGAGAGATTGACCGAGCACAGGCAAACCGAGAGGAGACCCTGCTCCCAGACCTCAGGGGCTGGCCATGAAAGGACCCAACCCTGTTCTCATTCATCTTCTTGTGATCGCACCCAGGAGCACCAGTCCCGGACCAGGCGCCCGCTGTGCCAGGCACCGAACGACGGGACAGTTCCTGCTCCAAAGAGGTGACTGGGGAGAATAAGAACTGGGCGGGACCTTTTCCATAGACCCCAATGGAAAGAGTGGCCCCCTAAACTCAACACAGATCAGTACACCACTGCCATGGACTGTAGGGACGCATCTGGCTGGAGAACCTGGAAACCTCTCTCTTGAGTGGGTGATTCTTTAAAAGCACGAAGGACCAGGTGGTAGATTTCATTCCCACCCAGTAACGGGGGCTAGGTAAGTGCCATAGATAGGTCAATTGTTTGGATTTAGACAGAATTCCAGCCACAGCATCAACTGCAGCTCCCGCCTGGGAAATCTGTGGCCACTCTTGGTACCGGGACGATGGCTAAAGAGCTGTGTGGGCAGCTGAGCTCAGGCGGATTAACCTGAGCACGGGACATAGTTGGAGCTTTCGAAGGCCGGCAGAGCCATCCCTCCAGTGTTGTGCTTTGTGCCAGTTAGCAAGAAAGAGACTCTCTCCATCCACATGTCGGTTGGCACATGGGAAGGTGCACTGGGCTGGGAGCCAGGAGACTGCAAATTCTGGCCTCACTTTTTCTACCGGTTGCTGTTAATATTTCTGTGCCCCTCACGTCCCTTATTACGGAGCAAGGCCTCATATCCCTACCATAGGAGGGAGGCAAACATCGCCCTCCCACCCCCATTTTACAGCTAAGTTCTAGGAGCCATTTCAGGCAGAGCTGGGAATAGTAACCAGGTCTGTTTAGGGCCGATGCAAGTCTTGTTCCCTCAGTGATGCTGCCCTGTGGAATGAATGTGCCATATATCTGAGCTTGGCTATGCTGGATGTAATCATTAGACCATACTTCCCACCCAGAACCAAGAGTAGAACCCAGGAGTCCTAATAACCAACATTCCACGGCTGTCTAGCAAACCGTTGTTACCCCTGGTGAAGAGAATGTCACATGCCCTTCTGTGGTCGGTGCACAGAGATAATAGCCCACTTCTTTAGCTCCAGGGGTAGACGTCTGTGCTGTGTATCTGGGCTCAAACCCTGCAAATGCACATGGTTGTGTCATTCAAAACTGTCTCCCAAAGCATATGCACAAGGGGGCAGAACTCAGGTGGCCCAAGTAACCTTAATTCTTGTGCTTCCCAGTATCTGAGTGCCGCCCTCCCAGCCCCACGGTTCTTTCAGTCTAAGGAGTTTAGAACTTCTCCATCTAGCTCTGGGATCCCCCCTTTAAGCCAGCACTTGCTGGAAGAAACGGCTGCCCGAGGGCAATGCTAATGGCTTACGGAGCCTTTCATTTGGGGTCACCAGTTGGAACGCAGCCCAGCTCAGTAGGCACTGAAGGTTGTTTCCATTTCATGAATGTTGGGTAGCCTGTACATGGGATGAGTTTGGTGGTTCTCAGTACCAGCGCCCACGTCACACGCTCACCACTGTGCTTTGCACTAACGCGCAGAGGCTAAGAAGGGCTGGGCCATAGAGACCGAGCGCCTCGGGGCTCCGAAATGACGTCCCCGTGGATTCAGGCTGAGGCAGGCTTCAGGGGAGATTCCCTTAGCTAAACAACAGGCTTCGCTGCCCGGGCTGTCAAGGGGGCACTGTTCAGCCTTGCCAACGCTGCACACACCTGAACAAGGTCAAGCCTCTCTGCAAATGACCTCGTTAAAGAAGTTTGTGCAACTGTAAGTAAGTGTCTTAGTATTTGCCTCCAAAATGTGGCATCCCTTCCACCCTCTCCTGGGCACTGTCATGGAAACCAGCCCTCCCCCAGCCCAGCTGCTCCAGCCCCACTCCTGCCCCCCTCTGGTCATTGTCAAGGCGCAGAGCCTGCCCCATACAGCACAGGTTCCTAGCCCCCACCCTACCCCTGCCCCTTTATGGTCATTGTCAGACAGCTCCCCACCCCTCCTAAGCACGGTCAGGTGACCCCCCAATGCACTGTGGGAAGTTAACAGGCAGAGCTAGTCCTTCTGCAGGGGCGATGGCAGATCCCAGCAGTTGGGGGAGCTGCTGCTCTGGCCCAGTGGCAGGTACCAGTAGCCATGGTGCTCTGCCAGGGCGAGCACAGACAGGCCCTGTATCGGCCAGCTGTCAGAGCTCCCCCGAGAAGAGCCTTAGACCGCCCAGGACTGCCCCGCC